CATTAAAATAATCAATCAATCATTGTTAGACCACGATCAGAAACCTAGAAGCACTGAACGGCCGTTTCATCCTGCCATAGGACTCATCAGTGACCAAGAGCATCTACGACTCTTGCTATTCACAGGATTTGAACCCAGGAATTTCGGTTTTCCATGCGAACGCCTAACCTCTTTACCCCTGAGTTGGCATCAGACAGTGTCAATGTCTAACTTTGATTAATCTAGGGATTTTGTGCGACCTCACCCAATTGTCTTTGATAATTATTGCCTACACCCGATAGGGCTGAACTCCACTGTTCACATCCTGACTAGAACTCCGAAAATTTCCTCACGAAACTAGTCACTAGTGAGCGCATTTTACGATATTTTGAATTAGAGTTATGGAGATTAAGGATTGTATACATTGAAATCATTAATCAATGCTTGTTGAATCACCATTCGAAACGTGGAGGCATTGGACGTTATTGGCGATCAATAAATAGTACCAAAGCATTCGAACTAACAAATATACATTGAAAATTCACTACTTTCTTATCATTGAAAACATATAATCACTAGTAAACCAACATTATTAGAAACCTGAAAGCACTGAATGACGACCGTTTCATCTTAGTAAGAAACTCATTGCAAGTGTGCAACAACCCACTTCCGTATGCCGAGGGCGATCATTTCAGAGTGAATGAATGATTCAATCCAAAATTCAACTTATTTGAAACTTTGTATTCAAGTCAAAACGTGTTTTATTGAATTTGTTTTTGCTTCTAAAATCAATAGTACATTCTTTCTCATTTACGCGCTATAATGCTAACCATTTCTAACACTAATATCATGAATTGTTGTGTTTTTTTTTCGCTATAATTCCCATGTGATAAATATTAACTTCAGCACCAAAAAATATTATCGATTCACATCAAAGTATTGATTGGTTTAGGCAAATGTCTAACCACTTCATTCTTATTGGTGCTACTGACATGATTAAAACAAAAATAGATTAGTACAATGAAAACAGACATGTGAACGACTGAAGTTGAAGTAGAAGTGTAGAGTGAAGTGTAGTGAAGTGAGGTGAAGTGAAAATATATGGACAGAAAGAAATTTCTAGGATTAGTAAACAATGCCAAATGGGAGTATTATTATTATTATTATTATGATTATGATTATCATGATAATTGAACATTCGTGATTTTATTATGGCTTTTTCATTTCTCAGCCTTCATAGTTGTTGAAATGTTAACCATGTATGTTATGATGATCTGATACAGTGGGCTTCGGTGCAACAATCAATCAGGGGCGTTAAAAAAAAACGTAGGCCTACATAATACATAGTGTATGATGTTAAACATAGTTATATGCCAAGGTCGATTGCATTCTGTTTTTAAACTTAGCAAGGAAAATAGATTGCATTTTTTGGCTGATTGTGTTTTTTCCTTTTGTTTTAATCAAATGTCATAAATTATAGTAGGCTGAGAGGGAAATAGGCTGAATATTTGATCGGTTAGAGTGTTGTAATTTTCGTAAAATATATCCGGATAAAACTTTTTTTAAGTATATATATATATATATTAAATAAGTTTTCATAACTAAATAGTTTATTTTATAAAATGATTTATTAGAATTAGTTCAATTAGTTAATAACTTTGTTTGTTTTTGAAAAAAGCAAAACAAGTTTGAATTAGCGCGCTTCCATTCAATGTTCACTGATCCATCCCACTGTGCCAATTATCATCACATGCGCTTATTGATCATCATCATCATCATGTGTGTGTGTGTGCGTATGTTTCAATGTATTTTATCTTTTAAATATCAAAACTTAATAAAACAGCAAATAAACAGGTAATAATAATGATAATAATATTAAACGTCTTTCACTTGTTTTCTACCTCACTTTATTTTAAATATACACAGCAAAAATCAAAAATAACATGTGATAAATTTCTTTGGCATTAGTTAAATTACAGTAGTACATAAATGTATAAGAGTTAGTTAGTTCTGTTCTACATATATGATCACTAACTAGAATACAGTGTTTCAATATTTTGTTCAAATGAATTGATGTCGTGAACTCTGTACACCCTCTAGAATGTATGGAGAGTCAAATGTTGTCTACAAGTAGATTATCAAAATCGACGGAGTTAAATTGTCGTCATTTCTTTATTGAATGAATTGGGATTTTTTTGTAGACAAGATGTTTGATTCAAGGATAGGTGTTTCATTTTGTTAAATCAACAATGATTAGTCAAAATGTAGAGTTTTATATCAGTGATAGGAAAATATAGGTCTGTACAAATAACTTCATTATTAAGTGATAAGGAACTGAGTTGATTCAATACTCAGTTTGATTATCAACAAATACGTAAAGAGTTTAAAATGGGTTGAAGCTAGAACATCTTGAATTCAAATGATATCTATATAAGGGTAAACTATCCTAAAAATTGTGTAAATCTACGGAGACAAGGTTTACTTTTAGACTGGCTACTGTTTTTAAATAGCAACTTAGTAAAATTCACCAAACATCTAAATATACTCTGTTTAAATAAATTTCATTTTTTTTCATGAGATCTTTATTTTTTCTATTTAAACAAAAAAAAGCGCTTAAATAGCAAGTGATTTTTCAGTTGAACATTGAATAAGTAGTATTCAACAAATGAACTTTTTCTTCAAAAACTAAATAGTTGATAAAATACTGTGCAATTTTGAGGGATCTTCCAGTCATTTAAATAAAAAAACACATGGTAAGATTATTTAAGAGTTGAACTGTATTGAAACATTGAACGAAAAGTTAAGATTAGCAGTTTGTTTTAAAAATAGCAATCGATTTAACGGAATACAGAACAGAGAAGGGTAATGTTATTGACTATGAATAAATCATTGTGTTGGAATCAGTTGGAAAATGTCTGAGGTCATCATATATATATATATATATATATATATATACTTAGTTGTAATATTAGACTTGATCTCAAGACCTAATCTTTGTTATACTTATGTTTACCATCCAAGAGCTACTCATCGAACATTTCGAAAGTAGGAAATTGTAAATAAATTTCAGTTGAGAGCGAAACATTTTTTAAAATCTATCAAGAGTTTCAAATGGTTTAATAACTAGAACAAATAAAATAACCTGCCGAATCTGTGCCCAGTAATTTATGAAAAAAATTTTTTATATGAGAATCTATATGTGACACAATGAACCAATCAAAAGTCGACGAATAAGAAGGTCATTGTGTGCCAATCAAAAATTTCCTCGATGATAAACGAATGTTATTGATTGAGAAATAGTCTCAATTTCTAAGGATATATACATATCAATGAATGTTTATGCAATGTGATTCAATTGTTCCCAATAAACATCCTGTTTCATCCTTAGTATTCTTTACTGAACAACCAGTCTATGGGGCTTGTTTATAAGAAGTTTGTATGTCAGTTACAGTGTCGAGCACAACGATTCATGACAGTATATTGTAGATATCATAGTCGAAGTCCTTCTGCCTTGACAGAGTTTCTCCATATGATTTCAGTTTTCAATGAAAACTATTTACAAAAGCCGTATTTGTTTGCATACAATAGTAGTAGTGAAGTGTTAAACGAAGGGTAGTTAAACCCCATGTATATTAAAGATTCCCATTGTGAAAGTTAGAACAACACGTATAAGCAAACAGTATTGTTTTCGATTAGATCGTCATCAGGCTTTACTCTAATATATATGAATATTTATATGAAAATGTTAAACCAATCAAGGCAATTTGAGTGATAATCACAATGAAATGAAAAAGGCAAAAGTACAAGTGGATAGTAGGAAGATAGGTGAACAGATAGTAGTAGGAAAATTTATAAAATATGATAACTAAAGTAGGTCAAAGGTGGATCATTTACTCTAGTTGATAAAATGAAATTACTTTAGTCGAGCATGCATATGTGATGCGATCAGTTTAATCGATAGGTTTTCTGCAAATAACTACAAGACACTAAACTATCCAGTTAGATAACTATTGCGAGTTCATCTTAGTCGGTAAACGAGAGCCAAGACAAATGATCTAGTGACATGATAGGCTACTCTAATCCGAGCGTCCCAAGGCCCCACTAAGTAGAGGAAAAAGTCTTGACAAGACGCAGAAAGTGTATTCTACAAGTATCCAGAAAATATGAGGTTACACAAGCACACAAATCGAGTATATTCATACATGATCGAAAGTTCTTTGGGAGAGCCACAAAAATAGCGTACTAAAATCAAACACATCAACCAATAACAGTCAAGGATTTTGAGAGTGGGAAATGTAATCTCGAGATCAACTGATCAGTTCATGCGCGAAAGAACATAATCCAAAAATTAGGACCTTTATCAAATGAGTTCTGGGGCATTTAACGTATCCAACAGTTTTTCACTGAGAGACAAGAGAAAATTTTAATGATTTCTTAAATGCTTATTTTTTTTAAACTAAACAAAATTCACTCATCATTTAACATGTTTACAAATTATATATGAAATCATTGCATAATTGTTTTAAGTGTCTTACACACTAAACTCTAATTCAATAATCAAGTTTTTCTATGGAGGTCAATTTAATTGGTTTTGAACTTATCTAATAATAGACTTAATCACATATGTGATCAAAAAGTTTTAGGTTAAAGATTTCAGATAAAAAAAGTATTCCGTTACAATGTTAATTTTAAATGTGTAAGTGTTTCGGTCGGCCTTACACACACATGCACACACAAATAAATGGGCTTATCTCAAATATTCACCGGCTTTTTTCCTCTAAATGAAATTACATTCACCGAACTGAACTTATCAGTGTACGCTTGGACAAGTTTTTATCGACCCTAAGCTCTCGATAGAAGTCAGTTATTCAAATTCGTCAACATACAAAACTGATCTGTTCTATCATTCTTTGTCTCAATAACATAGTTAGAAAATGAATGACATTAGAAACATGCGAATTTTAAACATAGTTTTTAAAAAAAAGAGGAATGAGGTAAACAATAGATTACTTAATACTTACAATATAATGCTTCATTTCTATGTCGAAACCAAACAGTCACATCCATTCTATATCCATCTGGATCAAATACTTCACCGCCAACTTTGATCACTGAAGCATCATATGATCGTGCACTTGGACTAACTGAACCACCGCGTAAATTCAATGATTTTCCTGGTGCCATTTGTGATTATTAATTATTGAACAATGAATTATATTGAATCCACAAAATAGGTAATGGGTAAATTTAAAAATTGTTAATGTTATTATTATTACTACTATTACGTTTGTTAGAATCTTCTACACACGAAATAACTAGAAAAGTATGTAAATTTTAGAACGGAAACGAGTGAATAGTTGTTGCTATTTTCAGTATGCAATCGTATTTTCGATTTCAAGGTCAACCGCTTGCCGATTGGCTATGCGCTACACCATTTCGACCAAACACCAACAATAAAAAAACACAAACGCGTAGGTGTGATTTGGTCATATACGAATAACAAAATTCATTTGCCTATTTTGTACAATCTTATACATAGTACAACTGATTACAAATGATTACTCCAAATACATCAGTACTACTACTACTACTACTACTAATACTACTACTACTGCTGCGGATGTTTTGAAAAAACCTGTTTAATATTAGATTCAATGATCAATTGTCAATGATTATTTCTATGAAAAGAAATAAATAAACCAGATAACTAGGTTAAAAGAGGTTACATTGATTAAGATGTGCTTTCTTCCCCTCTCTCATATATATATATAAAAGGTTCTTTTATGTTTGCGATGGTGTTTTCATCCTAAATCATCAAGCAAATCAGAGTTTTGCACACCAAGAGATTACGTGTTATGCACATTTCGTCATAAATTATTACAGGTGAATAAATCCATCTCTCTATCTCTCCACCAATCTATCTATCTATCGATATAAATATAAATACATGCATATTTATCTGTAATTATTTTGTAATTCAGTGGAAAAATCTTTGCATACACACACATACATATACATCCCACAACTGTTTACACATGGGTACACCGCACAACTATACCGTGTAATATAGAAATTATTGAACAACTAAGTCAACCAGTGTGATGTGGGTGGAGAGATGATGCAACATTTTTTTCCCATTGAAACAGCGAAAAAAAACCCCAAAAGAAATTGATTATATTCGTTTATTATCTGAAGAAAAATTATGTGAGAATCGACGCCAACTCATGAATTAGAATCTATCGAGAGATATATTTGTTTAGAGGAATTAACGTTCAGGGAAAAGATATATGTTCATACGTGTTTATCTATCTCTCTCTCTATATATATATATGTACTTTATGGAAGAACCTCGTACATGCCAAAAAATAGTGTCTTTGCACATTTGAGTGATCACAAACTGTGAGTACATTGTTGAATACAATCAACATGTAAATCACTGCACACCTACACCTATACACATACAGATCAAATATCTAGATGACTGTTTACTCTTCAACAATATAAATGAAACAATGAGAATATTTCAAAATTTAAATATGTCACCTTTATTTTTTGAACAAGTACAAATGTCAATTTGGTACAAAACAAAAAACAACAACAAATAAATAACATGTATAAACTAATTTTTATTTCTTAATTGTAAACTAAAATTACTATCTGATAATAATAATAATAATAATAATAATAATAATAATAACATTAATATTGATTGGTTTACTAACCGCATGCCTAATCTTCCTTGTTTATCCAGGTTTACAACCGGCAGTATAACCTTGGAAGGAGGAGAACAAATCAGAATTCAGCTAGGGAAGAAATTAAGACAGAAGCACTGAAGGTGGGTTGAATATATATGTATATATATATTGCAGAAAGGTGCCGAACTACGTCACAAGACAAGTCCTAACTTGGGATGATCAGGGCAAAATAAAAAGAAGCAGACCTAAGAACATACTGCAATGAGAATTGGAGACAGAAATTATTAAATATTAAATAGGCTGAACTTTGAAAGGAGATACCATGACAGAATTGGTTGTAGACTGCGGGTTTGTGTCCTGTGCTTCTGTCTAATTTCCCCTTGAGTTTCTTTATTTATTCCGGTCGCGGCCTGTGCCCCATGCGAGGTAACAGGTGTATGTAAATAAGTGAATAGACAAGTAAGTCGTGTTGACCGCTTCAATAATCTAGGGAGTCTCAACGGTGCTGATGACCTGGTGACTTACGAAATCTCAGCATGGATATAGAAGGTTCAGTTTGCTTTGACCAACTTTTATCACTTATGTCGAAGACGAAATATCTATATGTTAGCCAAAGGACGAGTGTACTGCGAGGCAGTCCTGATGCGAAACATGGCCAGTTAGAGAAGAAGATATTCGTAGGTTATTGGTTTTCGATCATAGGTTTCTTCGAAGCATCGCTCGTTTATCTTGGGACTACCGAGTAAGTAATGCAGTTATTAGGAAACGGATACTAGGTAAGGATGGCAGATCAATAGGTGAAGTAGTGAAACTTCATCGTTTGCGGTGATTGGGACATTTTTTATTTGTGCCTAACCACCTACTGCACTTAATAGCTATCTATGTTTTCTGGTGTAGCAGTAGGCTGGAAGAAACATGAGGGCGGAAGAATGAAAACATGATACAAACACATGAAGTCAGTGACAAGTGGACTGAGTCATGTTAGTAGGTGTAAACTACCTGGTTGGGTTCCGTGAGATGATAGTAATCGATGGTTAAAGATATTGAATGACATGGCTCAAAATCGTTTCCAATGGCGCATGTGCATCCATTCTTTGTGTTCTCTCAAATCCCAAACTTCTGAATTCGTCAACACCTCTACCTTTGTCTTTCTAAACTTATCTCACTGAATTATACTTCTTGAATAATATCTTCGAACCCTAATCTTCTCCATTACCGCTAATACTTCTACTACATCAATCACGATGAGAACTGAATTGGCAATTCGATCTCTGTGTGCTAATGTGGCATGGCAACATGAATACTGATATATGTAAGTACGTATGAAATTCTACGTTGTAACTGACTGATGGAAATAAGTAAGTGGTCGGTTTATTCAATAGAGTATATGTCACAACAACAATTTTCACCATAAAATGTTCAAAATTCCAATAGAAATTCACATTTTGGAATTGTTTAACGTGTACATATTTTTTTTAAATGTATTCATAAATCATTTTCAACATTGATTTATCGAAATTCATGTTAAGTAGTAAATGATGATGATCATTTCAGAAATGGAGACAGATATGGTTTTTCAGTTATTATGACCAGTAGTATTTGAATCTAGCACCAGTGTTTCTTCCTTTCTGGAACTCGTCAGTTCCAGACTGTATTGTAGACCAGAAGAGATGTGGCAGGAAACAGTCAAAAGGCTGTTTGAATGGCACATAGATATCTGAAGATTATTTCTGTACATAATTTGTACATAAACTCTATCCTCTCTTCAAGTTCCAATAAGAAATCATGAGCTAAGGAATTCATTCCGCGTCTCGCGTGAGACGATTGACCAATGAAGACAGTGAAAGTTTGTCGGACAATATTGTGAATTGACTTCAGTTACATATTAGCACCTTTAGATAAAGGCTTAGTGGTCTAGAGGTTAAGAGTCCATCGACGAGATCAAAGGTCTTGGGTTCGAGTTCCATGTACTGGGTCATGGATGCGCACTGCCATTGATGAGTCTTATACTAGAACGAAAAAGTCATCCTGTGCTTACAGGATTCTCTACGTGATCTAACCATTGATCAGTTCATGAATACATTGAAATTCAACGATCTTTATCAGACTTAACTCTCTAATTTACAAACAACACTCATATGAAACTCATTCCAAGTAATCATGGCAATTTATAAGTTAGTGACTGGTAAAAATGAAAGTAAAAATTGTACAGTGTGATAACACATTATGACTAGTTATAATTTGGAATAACAAGGGCTTATATCAATGTCACCTAATAGGCAGTTGATCAAACGCCTTGGAAAACTAGAAACTCTGGAACAACATTCATCACAATGATAGATTACGTAATAACAAGTGTTCAAATCGACAGATGGTGTGAAGTGCAGTTTCAAAGCAAAATGTGTGCGGTGAAGTAACATTCAGACAAGGCACCGAAGCAGATGTCGCAAATCTCTTCTGAACACAAAGACTTAGTTTGTTAACACAAATCCATATAGCTTCTGCTATGTGCAAAAACAGACTGAACCTCATGAGAAAAACGTGTAAAGCATACTTAAACTGATTTATTTCTGTCTACTCTAATGATCAATTAAAATCAAGCGGGATCTATTTCAGTAATGATCAGCAAGCTAGAAGTTTAATTTACTTTTGGAACTGTTCAATAACTTGATCGACAGAAAGAGTAACGTGACACTCTTTCAAAGTAAAACTGTGGTGCGCGCTACTTATAAGTAGTATATGATGCGAGTGTAAACGTAATGTCTGGCAGCAGAAGATGGGGGAAGATCAAGAAACGAAGAGTGGGAACACAATTGAATTTGTATGAAACGCATGAATAGTGAAATGTCAGACAATGGATTGATGATGGATTGAAGATTTGCAAATTAACGGTTACGATATGGTTTTCCGATTTTACTGAGTAACTCTGTAATTTTCGTTAATTACTATTCGGTTGCCCTCAACTGTGTTCTCCTTCACTACAAATTCACTATGATGAATATAAAACATACGGTGAATTGGCTAATTCAAAGCAAAAAAATATTCTTCTCTTCATTTTGAATTGATTTCATGTAATGAACTAGTGTAAAACCACTGAATATTGAACAGTCTACTTGTTGTTCTTTTCAATAGTTTGAACAGTTTTTTAACAATCCCAATTGAATAAGACATGTGAATGATTTGAATTCATGTTATGCTGTACAGTTGGTTAAACACATTAAACAGTTGTAACGTTTTTTTTCGCCAACAAAACAATAAAATTAAAACAAAATGACAAGTCAATTAGAATTGTGAGAGTGAATTTTAAGCTAGTTATATTTTTTTTACACGAAATTCAAAAAATCACATAGTATGTTAAAAATAAAAATGAGAGTTAAAAAAATGATGTTAAACTTATCGTCAAATGTTCATTTAATTCCATGTAGATTTTACATAACAAGAAAGCGAAGATCATACTGAAATCCTAACTATTCATTCCTGAAACAAAACTCCATCTAGAAACCTTATGTGGTTACTATCGGTCCCAAGGTCGGATAAATATATTACACCGAGAATTGGAGGCAGATATCAAGTGAATGAATATGTTACGTATGTACGAAAACACGTCGATTCGATATGCTTGAACTATTACGAGTTTACCTTAGTCGGAATACGACAGTGAGGATCGAGGATCCGACAGGCTACTCTAATCCGATTATCCCAACTCCCATTGAATAAAGAAGAAGACTTCATATGAAGTAGAACCTGTATTCTACAAGCATCCAGAAAGTATGAGGTCCGAATCCAGAAGAGAATCAGGATCCCGGACTAGGGATCCAGGACCGAGCCCTGGTCATAAAACGTTACAGATAATGTGTATTTATATATTTTGGTCGAATAGGAAATAGCATCGAAGCCTGTGACATTGACAGTTAAGACGACCAATAGGAAACAGCATTTTAAGTGACA